ATGAGTGTCTTTCCTGCATAATGTTTCCATATCCTTTAGATCTACAGGACTGCTGTTCATGTTTCATGCAAGTGGTGTGCTTCTACCAGATACATATACAGTGGTGCACTTTGAGGATATCAATACAGTTTTAGGGGCAGTTTTTCATGTAGGGATTCTCCTTCAGGTAGTAGTGCTTTGTAGGGAATTACTAGTTGTTTGTATATAATGCAAAGATAGACAAGTGCTCAAGATAACATTAGTTTTTCTCTGAGATCTGTCATGCCAATGAAATTTGGGATTCCTTGCTGAGAGAAAAGGAGGGGTCCTTCTTTTTAAACACTCCATGGGTTGCATACAGAGGGAGAGAGTTCTGGGGGGGGGATTGTGTGTGTGTGTGTGCGCCTGTGTATGTCATTAACAGTATTTGCATATAATTATGCTAACAAACAGAAAGAGTAGTTATGACTGTTACCTGTTCATACCTGCAAACCAAAGGTTAATCTTTTCTTGGGACACTTGTCCCATTGTGAATTAATTTATCTCAACGTGCAAAGTCAATGGCATAGACTATTACTTCTGCAAAAACTTCAGTTCCTATTAGCTGCTGTTCTTTGATTCCCCCTCCCTCCCATTATTCTGATTTTCCAGCCTACATATTTAAAAAGTTTTTCCTTTCCAACAGCTAGTGAACAATGTTCAATCTCTAATATTCTTACCTGAAGCAAAGAAGTGTAATCATTTTATAGATGGGGAGCTGAAGCACAAACAGGCAAAGTGTGTTGTTACATAGCAGTTAGGGAAGTAATCACATTACACTCTACAGATACTAGACTGAGCTTTAAACGGGCTGATTTATGGACAGGTAGCAATCTGAAAACAGAGAAGTGTGTACTCTAGCACAAGTTAATTTATCCATTAGAAGAAACATATACGCTAGCAGAAGTTAATTTATCCATTAGATTAGAGTTTATATATTTTGAAATAGTGGTTCTCATGACTTTAATTTGCATAAAACATACTTTCTCACAGTAAAATTACAGATAATTTCAGAACTTTTATGTAACCTCTTTCCTTGCAAAATGCTTCAAACGTAGGTTGGATTTTTTTTCGTGTAAAAATCCTTTAGTTTAATCTGTTTGATTCCGTAATACAGGAATTTGGCTTTTAATGCACAGTAAGTGGTATTAAAGGAGAACAGGCTGTGTGAATAAAAATTTGTCTAGGCTGGAATTAGAAATCACTGGAAGAAAATGAAACCAGGATGACTTGGCTGCCATTAGTGATAATTATGTAAATTACTTTTTTTTTTGCATGTCGTAGGTGTGTCGTCTGCAAGACCTAGTACGAAAAAGTGAACAAGGCCTTGGTACTGCAGAAGGACATATCTCCAGTCTGCAAGAAGCTCAGGAAATACTCCAGAAAGAACTAGAATTAACTAGAGCAAGACTGCGAGAGACCACAGATTCATTGTATAGTGTTGAGGTAACCATAATGTTGGAGAATAAATCATACAAAGTACAGTCACAGTGACTTTGGTCTTGTTTTTAAAATGGCAAGAAGTGTTACTGTGTACATATCATTGAAGGAGCTTCGTATGGCTTCATTAAAAGAGAAATTTCTCTTTTAATTTCATGCAGGGAGAAAAAAAAAAATGGAAAACTAGGATGGGTTGGTTTGGGGTTTTTGTTTGGTTAGTTGTTTTTGGGGGGTTTTTTTGTTGGTTTGTTTTCAAAAGAACACTTTCAGTATTTAATGGATATTGCTGCAAGCACATCTTTCTGTGGTTAATATAAATTGTAGCTGCCAAAATATGTCAATACAAAATATATCCAGAGTTGGATTTTTCAGAGGCTTAACAGAATTTTCGTGAGAATGTAGCAAAGGATATGTGTTACACCAGTGCTATTCCAGACAGTTTCATGTCTTGGTGCAAAACAAGATCCAGCGCTTACTAGCTCTAGAATTCATTGAAACCTTTTTAATTTTTTTTTATCCCCCAGTATGCACGCATACCATGTTTTCCTCAAATAATGGGCACAGTCTGCATTTCAGGCTCAAATTTAGAATTTCAGAAGATGCTTAAGAATAGTTTAAAGATATATGCTATGATATCTTGAAAGATAGCAGACTATCATCCTGAAAACGTGACCATTTTATATAAATGAAGCAATTAATTTTTCTAAGCACAAATATATTGCTATTTTAGTTGGCTTAGATGGAACTAGAACTGTCAGTCTGTCAATAGCTCATTGACTTTAATACGAAGTATAACCTTTCCTTTTTCTTTCTTCAGTAAACAATGTACATTTACAAGATCACAGCAATATTTGAAGTAGAGCAGCAAATATTAAAAAAAAAAAAAAATTTCCCTGAATCTGTTTTCGTACTGGTGTTATTTTCTTAACAAAAACAGCCTGAAACAGGATATTGATGAATTTTTTTTCTTATTTCTTTCAGCTATGATCGTTAGATGTGCACCCTATTGCAGTTTATAACTTCCTCTGTATTTTTTATAATTTCTCTAAGGGTTCATATGAACTACTGCATTCTTCTCTCTTCACCTATTCTAACACTTAAATATTTGTATATAGCAGGTTACTGGCAATAACATTTATCTTAAAAGATTTAAAAATATATAAATGAAAAAATCCTACAGAAAAATTTTCACTTTAAAAAGTCTAAATTTAGGCGGCCATGTTTGCTTCTCATGAATGAAGCAAGCACTACTGAAAAACATTCATGTAAGTATGGATTCTATTTAGTACCTAATACTATTCTAGTATGGTAAAATTTGAACAGAAATTGATATGAATTCTAAAATTTTTTCTGTGTTCAGACTGAAAGCCTGTTCTACCAGGTTAGTCCAATCAAGAAACAGAAAGAAGATACATGAACTTTGTATCAAATCCAGATAGCTCATACTTGGAAATTCAAATAATGAATATTTGCTGATTTAAAAAAAAAAAAAAAAAAAAAAAAAAAAGTCCAAAACATACTTGACAAGAACAGAAGAACCTAAGCAACCTGCTGTAATTCTGAAATTAGTCTTGCACTGAACAGGACTTGATGACCTTTTGAGGTTTTTTCCAACATAAATTATTCCATGATTCAATGTAAAGGGTTTGAAAAGATGAATTCCAGAATGACTTATTGGAAAATTGCTTTTTATATCTTATTATAGGAATGCAGAATTCTTTTCCACAAGTAAGAAATATCAGTAAATGTATAGGCGTTAATTGTGTGTAATTAGGAATTACACACTGAAAAAGTTATAGTTCAAGTTTTATGAGCCAATTGTAACTGACATTTTTGTTATAAATGCATTCACTTAAGGTTTGAAATACTTTTTTGCTGCTGATCAGTCTCTATTGCGAAGTTTGTGTTTGCAGGGAGAACTAGATCAGGAGAGACAACAGCACGAGGCAATGATTGCTGCCATGAGAGAAGAGGAAAAGTTCAAAGTTGACAGAATGGCTCGTGACTTGGAAATAAAATGGACAGAAAATCTTCGGCAAGTGGTTTTTTTTTTCTTTTATTCTTTAATAAGAAATGAAGGATGTATTACTTGCAAATGTAATAGCAAATGAAATGTGAAACAAAGGTTTTTGCTATTACCTAAGCTATTCCAATTATTACTGACTTCTTAATTCTCTTGCACTTCTTGCACAAGGTCCACTGCATTTTATTTATTTGACCTTTGCTTTTAGACAGGAATGTAATAAGCTTCGTGAAGAGCTGAGGCTTCAGCATGAAGAGGATAAGAAGGCAGCCATGACTCAGCTGTTGCAGCTGAAAGAACGTGAAAAAAATGCAGCAAGGGATGGATGGCAAAAAAAAGTTGAAGATCTTTTAGACCAGGTAATTATGGTTTCTTTGAGAATTGGAAGGCCATTACAATTTAGTTGCTGGTGGTTAATTACCAATTAACTACATGAAATCGGTTGTGACAATCTGTCTTTGAAATGAAATTTGTTAGCATTATGCTTTTTAAACCTAATCATTATCGGACTTTTTAAGTAATATATGAAGATGCCTTAAAATAATATCAATGTCCTTCATTAAATATGATAAAACTTTTTACAGTTTTTTGGGGGGGGGGAGTGGGAGGGTTTTGACAATCTCACCTCTTCACTATAAGATTTTTTCGATTCTTCATCTGCTCACATATTCTATTGTAAATATTTACCAATGCTAATTATTTGGACTTGGAGGTATCCCTTATCTTTACAATAATGACGCTGTACAAGTCACTGAAAAATCAAAATGTCCCTCAGTTTCTACGACACATTTATGACAGCTATGTCTTCTCTTAAGTGATTTTGAACATTATTTTGGGATAATTTTTTATAAATACTGAGTTTTTTAATGGCAACTCGTATTTATAAACTCAGTTATGTTAGATAATTCACAGAAAATACTTGCTTTGTACTTCTTCCAAACCATAAATGCTATAGAATTGTTTTTATTGACTACAGTTTGAAAGAATAGCTGATAATGAACAAATATATTTTAAAGTAAGAGAAACAGATTTTGGAACTCATTGAATGATTGCGATTTCAGGGTGTTATTGTGAGATGGCTTTTAATTGCTGTCTAATTTGGGAAGTCTAATAACTGAACATGCACTTAATTATAGAGTTTCTTATAACAATTTATTTTGCTGACAAGGGAATTTAAGCTTGTAAGATCTTGTGGCTTAGATTCATAAAAGCTGGAGGTTTTCGAAGTTCTCAGTCTGTTACTTTTTACAACATGAATATAATAAGACTTGAATTCATTTGATTTTAAGTTTCACTTATTGCCTTTACCCAAGCTTCATTTACTCTCTTTACTTCTACTTACAAATAGCGTTTTCTCTAAGAAAGTACAATTTGAAAGGGATATGTTAAACTTTCTGTAGTTTTAACATACTTTTAAAATACTTTACTTATCTCTACCTTTTAAAAATACCATAATAAATCTAACGTACAGTTTCAGAATGGAAAATTAGTGTGTTGCAAATGAACAATTTTTTTCTGCATATGGAAAAAATTTTGGAATCAGAAAGCTCGGAAAGCTAACTATAATAAGGAGAGTTTTACTGGAGAATTTGCAGACATAAGAAATGGTCCGCATACGTAAAATGGTTCGGTTTTTTTTTTTCTTCATTCCTTTTACTGTACCAAAGAGCTGCACCATTTCATAATAGCATGTGTGTTTGGAGGACTAATATGAAAATAAACCATGGGAGTCTTCACTCTTTTTCTTTTCTTTTTTTTTTTTTTTTTTTTTTTTTTTTTTTTTTTTTTAAAATCCAGTTGTTGCTTTTCCGTACCAGTGTTTGAGTTGGATAGGTATTTCATAAAGATCGAAAAGTTATTGTTGGTGGTAAAGGTATTACTGGTTGGTAGGTATTGTTGGTGGTTGTTGGTTTCCCTCTGTAAGAATCTACATTTTATCCATTACACCTGGAGGAGAGAGAGTTCCAGACCACAGCGTACACGATAGGTAAAGAGAAATGGGTTTGTAGTAAGTTCCTCCTGATCGCCGTACACAAAGAGTAGCCTCTGAGAGTTAAACTGACCTGAATCATAGAATCATAGACTGACTTACGTTGGAAGAGACCTCAGGAGATCATCTAGTGCAACCTCCTGCTCAAATCAGTCAACACTGAATTTGAATCAGGTTGTTTAGGGCTTTGTCCAGTCAGGTCTTGAATAACCTCCAAGGATGAAGATTCCACAGCCTCTCTGAATAATCTCTTCTAGTGCTTAATTATCCTCATAGTGAGTTTTTTCTTTATATTTAGACAGAACCTCCTCTGTTTCAGTTTATGATCATTGCCTCTCATTGTGTTATTGTACACCACTGTAACCGAGGCTGGGTCCACTTCCTCTGTAACCACCTCATAGGTATTGGAAAGCTATTAAGTCCCACAAAACCTTCTCTTCTTTAGACTGAACAAATATATGTGCTCCAGTCCCAGCTATCTTCGTGGTGGCTCTCCATTGAACGTGTTCAAGTTTATCAATGTTTGTCTTGTACTATGGCAACCAAAGCTGAATGAACTGGAGGAGGAGACAGAATGTGCCCTCCAGGTGATGTGCAACTGTGCCAAGTCAAAGGGACTGATCCCTTCCCTCAAACTACTGGTTGCTGCTACAGCCCAGTAGCTGCTGGCATTCATTGCTGCCAGGCCACACTGCTGATTCATGTTTAGCCTACCGTTAACTAGGTTATGCGAAGCAGATCTGTAACTGGTATGAACCAGTGCAGGGGCTTAGTCCATCCCATGTAAAGGACTTTGCGTTTGTTGTTGAATTTTGTGAGGTTCCTATCGGCCCATACCTGTAACCTATATAGGTCCTTTTGGATGGCAGTCCTGCCTTTCAGTGTATTTTATTCCCTCCTCTGTGCCGCACCCCCTGTTCTACTCCTCCCCGTTTGGTGTGGTCCACAGTGGGGGCACTGTCTGTCTCCTCCTTCAGATCATTGATAAAGATACTAAAATAAATAGGTACTGGAACAGACGCCTTAGGAACTCTACTTGTAACAAGCTTTGGGGTAGAGTGGACCATTAACTCCTACCTTTCAGCCTGATAATCCAGCCAGTTCTCATCTGTCTGTTAGCCCACCCATCTGAATTGTGATACAATCAGATACAAGGATGTTAAAAAATCTTGCTGAATTGAGGTCGCAAGCATCCACTGCTCTCCCCTCATCCACAGATTTAGTCATTTCATCATAGAAGAAAGTCAAAGGTAGCATTTTCATTATGGAACAGTGGCAGATTTTTGGTATCTGTTTCATAACGCAAAGATTACTGTAGACTTTGGTTGTATTAACCTAGAATGATGATATTCTGAGTGGAAACTGCATTGGACCCAGTTTGACTCTACAGGAACTACTGCAATAAGCCTAGCTGTGCTTGGCAATCTGTAAATGTGCAATAAGACTCTTTACCCCAGAGGGTTCACAGTCTAGTTTAAAGTCTAGTTTCCACAGACAGGAAACAGTGACAGAAGTGAAATTCTTCTGCTGTTACAGAGAGAGAGAGAGAGTTAACAGCATTGGGAAGAACTCAAATTTCAGTTCATCCAAAGGGTATCTGTTCATACCTGTCTTCTTTCAGCTACACTGACCTAGAACAGCCTGAGATACTGCAGTAGGGGTGTAAAATTGTGAATTTGTTACACCCAGCCCCAGTCTTCATTTGTGGAAAGATGCATTTAAAACCCATTTGAAAGGCGTGACATCTGTGTAAGAATTAGGAAGAGAGCAGAGATCTAACTCCTCTTTCTGCAATTCAGATTTTTACACCTGAAGCATTGGTCTGGTCTATACCAGCAGTACTATACAATGATTTATCAAAGTAACACAAGAGCGAGGTCTCTGCTAAATCATTTGTAAACTCCTAACTTTATGTTGAGAAAGTGTCTAGAGCTTCACCACTTAGTTGTATAAATGCTGTTCAGAAAGGTTGAATTCAGAAATTAAATGTTCATTGTTATGTTGCGGTATAAGGAATTCCAGAAAGATGTAATGAACATGAATTATTGGGGGGGGGCCAGGGGCGGGAATTTAAGAAATTCTTTCTAGGCAAAAGTGAGATCATGTATATTTGACAGATGTAATTTAAATTTAAAGGACTTAATGTATTATTTCTGGCAAATTGATAAGTGTCATGTCCAGTGCAAAATAGTGAAAATAACATGCTTTTTAATATGAAGCAACACAGTATTTTCCGTAAGTTTATCATGTAGTTTCATACTTTCACTCCTACGGGTACATAATTTTCTAATATGTATTCATGCATCTCAGATTTGATTTAAAAACAAGCTACAAAGAAGTGTAGCACCTAACTTTAAGTATATGAATGGTTATGTAAGCAAAGTGTTGAAAAAACACATTTAAATGAATGGAGAGAAGTGACACAGTATAGTTTCTTAAGCTGTAGAAAAACACAACATGCCCATCTTGGAATACTGCTGACTGGTGCCAGGAAAACTGAATGAAGAGACACAGCTATAAATGGCAACAATTTAAAAAAAAAAAAATCCAATTAAAAAATTTATGCCCATAAAGTGTACTAAGCTGGTTTTTTTTAATTATGTTATACTAATCTACAAATTTCTGCCTTCTAGTTGTTGCACATTTGATAGGTGAGATCTAGCTCTTGTATAAAACAAGGTAATATATTTGCTTTTATACCAGTAATGCTAAGTGGTCCCTCATAGAATGCATGTAGGATTATTGTTATTCTAGCAATATAGTTTTGTAATGAGTAAAATAATTCTCTTGAGAGAAAATGCTATTCAGCTGATTAAGTGCTTAAACACACTCTTGCTGGTTGCAAAGCATCACTTACCATCTACAGTTAAATGTGGTTGGTAGGTTAACTAGATCAGTGTCTAGAGACCAAATGTGTAGTTCTTACTCTGATATGAGAAGTGGTTCTAGAAGACATAAAAAGAAAGTGCTTTTTCTTTTTTTCCTGTAAATTGTATTTCTACATCAGTCCATGTGAGTTTCTTCATGAAATATGTAGTGAATTCAGATGTGCTAGCTCTTTTCCATTTCTCTTATCTGTGTAATGGGCTTTTAATGCTTTTCTTAAAAACATTTTACTGCTGAGGTGGCTTCAGCCATGGATGAAATAGCAGGAATTTTCTTTTTTAAAGCATGAGCATGTTCTCTCTTCTGCCTCTCCATGTTGTGCAACCCTCAGTTCTGAGCACTGAAATGTACAGGTTCTGTACAGACCTGTATTCTTCTTATGTATTTCTTCTTGTGATAAATGTTTCTGATTGTAGATTGGCTTTTCTATATTTGAGCAAATGTTGATTCTCCCATCTTCCTTACTTTTCAGTAAAACGTGTT